AATAAATTATGTGATTGAGTGTTATGTCGTCGTAATATGGATGTTCACAAGTTATCTCTTTTATATCTAAATTTGAAGTCAGCTTTCAGTATATGCAATTAATATATATCATACATGACAAGACCATTTTATTTTTTTTGGAGGGAGGAAAAAAACTAAACGATAAAATATTAAGATAAGATAAGAACTGAAAGCTCTTCTAATATGTTTTGAGAATATAAAAATAACAAACATCATAATACAAAATAAAATAGGTTTATTAGTACACATTTCTTTATAAAATTCAGATACTATGAAACATATAATGGTCTGCAGAACTACTAGACAATTGATACTTAACTCTTACATGTATAACCTTAACAATGTAAATTCACTTGTAATGTTTGAACATGATTTCTAGCCAAGAGCATTGCATCAGCCTATCCAAACACAGTCCCACTTCTGCAAATCCAAAACTGGTTACACTTTTTTCTGAATAGCAAATTAGATCTGCTGCATCTAATTGAATGTGTTACAGTCAAACCTGGGTAAACTGGACCCTGAATAAACAAAATTCCTTTCTATTCCGGCCGAAAATTGAAGTCCCATTATTTCCCCTTTAAAGTCTTTGTAAACATACCCCTTGTAAACTTGACGCTGTGCATTCCGAATTCCAGTCTAATTATGCAGTCTCAATATTCTTAATTACATTAATAATTATCTGTCAAAACCGGTTTGTTAAATTTATTTAACATGATAACAGTATTAATCGATTTGCAATCAAAACATAATTGTTTATACAAGATAGTTTTTCATGATAATCAATTAGCAAGGTGTTAAACCATGAACCTACAGTAGACTCATTGAGCTTTATTATTAATTAAAATAAACTAAAAAAAAGCCGAATATATCTCAGATAGAAATTACCTTGTAATCTTGATAAATTTTCAAATCGCGAAGTAAGAAATTTGCATCGTGTTTTCAAAATGCTGGGTTCCCTGTTCTGAACCCCGACACAAATGACCCTGATAATGAAGAAGACCTGGATGACGACATTTTATTGTCGAGTTTATGGGTATCGTACATTGTGCGACAATATTTCGATCATGATGAAATTTCGTTTGATAAAATTCTTGCTTTTTAATTGGCTATACCGCCGTAGGAAATGAACGATGGAAGTAAAACGAAACTCTCGTCGAACAATTCAAACAATCCGAGACTTATGATGCAAATGAAAAGAAGAACTTAAAATGAAACTGAAACTGACGAGTCGGAGAATGATGTTACCGAGGTCGATATGATATACGAGGATATGTAAAAAAAAATCAGGAGGCAAACAATTTCTGAAATTTCTAAAGCCAATGAATGCAAAGACACAAAACAATGATCATGCGTAGTTTAATGATGAAAGACAGGAACAATTGTAATGTTCATGTCACAATGTCTTCACACAAATCATGACATAACTTTTAATAAATTGATTATTACGGTATTTGTATTTATTAGTTTATAATTTAGAATGAGACAGAACTTTTACATGCAAGATATCTGACGTCACAAGTCAATAACTGCCTGTCAAAACGGAAACCTAAATAAACCGACCCACTGTCCAAATCGGTCCTTTTTCGCAGTCCCATGGCCGGCCGGATTATACAGGTTTTAATGTAATAAAATGATAAAAATAAAACACGAAAATATTGAATGCGTATGATGAAAAATGGTCCAGACGTACACAAATAATAGGGATCATTTTATCTATCCGGGAATAAAGGGCTAAAATGAAAAACAAAATAAACTTTAAAGAGAAAAACATCAGGATATATAGAAAACTACAAAGAATAATTATTGTAAGTTAAAATAAAAAAGAACGATGTTGGTCAACTGGGGCAAAACATAAACATCTTCAAATGCATGTTAAACAGTAAAAACTGCAATCCTCTAATTTCTTTAAAGCTACACAAAACTTTTGTTTGTGATGATTATTATTTTGTATTTTTGACACCAGTGTGCGAAAAATCATAGATACATATTCCTTGTTTGTTTTTGTAAAGACATATTTGTCTTTGTGGCGAACAACACTGATTATTGTGGATTCATTTATTTTTCTCGGGTATCAATTTTCGTAATTTGAGGAAAGCTTGCATTTTCGTGGATATTTGATTTCGTGGTTTTGCCTATCTCTACAGACAAATCCTATAGAAAATGCATTATTCGCTAAACATTTAAATTCGTGGTTCACCTGTACCCACAAAACCCACGAAAATTGGTATCCAACGAATAATAATGAATCCACAGTAATACAACAATTACACTTGAATCATAATCATAATATTAATGTACTTTTTGGATCGATAACATATGTGTTGTGTTAAGTGGATTGATATGTCATCAGATAATCGGTATCCCAATGGGAACCAATGAGAATTTCCGATTGTGACATTTCAATGAATATTGATTTTCATGGCGGGTGGCGTTTGTATATCAAGAAATGCTTACCTTACCCGACCCACCCAATCTAGCTCTATTTATATTTGATAATATTCCCTCATTTTCTTGTTTTATCTTGATTTGAATGTTCTTAATGAATGTATGATATTTAACATCATTAACTGTTGTTTGCTTCCAACTTGAATTTATAATTATCACACACGGAAGCCTCATGAAGAATGCGATTTTTTTACAAATTTTAAATGCGAAATTTGCAATGTCTACGTTTTACCGAGAATACAAAACAGTCAATAGATAACTTTCGACCGATAGATGAAAATTGCAAACAAATTGGATTCAATCTACATTTACTTAACTTGTAAAAGATTTGAAATTAAAAACGATACTTGCAAGCTTTTATTGGGAAAATAATCAACTTAAGTTATTAAAATTGTCTTGGATAATTATTGGCGACGCATTAAATATGATAGACTATCTACTAAAAAGGGCAAAACAGATGCATAATTAGAATAATTTGATGAAGGTGAAAACCATTAAACCCATGCCTTTGGATTTGAAATTAATCATTTGATTCGAACAAGTATCGCACAGTACATCCAGACCGTATACCGAGATAATTCTTCACCCAAAGATCTAAATTTCTTTTACAAATTAACTATTTCAACTTCGATGGAAAACAAACTTACACATATAAATGTATCCCACAGCAATGGGGCGACATGTACTCCAACTTGTGCGAATTAGGCAAAGTCGTTTAAAGAGAACAGAATAAATAAGAAAAATTATAAAAATTACCATGCATTGCAATGACGTTTGAAAATACATATTTGATACTGAATACATGGAATACGATATCAAGCTAAGATAATTGTCTTAATGGATTGATTGTTCATGTGATACTATTCGTGGCAATTGAAATATTTGGTATTCAAATTATAAGAAAAAGGTAAAGATATTGAAAAAGATATAATTCAAATGACCGAGTAAAACAGCAATGTTTACCTCAATAACAAAAACACCTACAATACATATACTGTAATAATTTGCCCGACCAAACACCATTGTTCAGTGAATTTAATAAACATGGCATTCAAAAGACCAGAAATAAAACACAAAATAACTGCAAGAATTCTGCATTTTACATAAACAAGAACAAATCATATCATATTATTGCATTTGGAAAAAAAAGGACAAAGGTCATTTGATGTGTGGAAATATTTTCAATAATAATTTATTTCATCTTATTCGTCTGTTATTATTTTTATCAGCAATCGGTGCACACATCTTGTATATACATAAACCAGACGATAGATTTTAGAAACCCCACAGAAGGTCCAATGAAAATATAACATATGTAAAAAGAACAGAAGATCTGTTGATATCGAGTTTCATTTCAAATAAGGCACCAACAATCAGATTTTCCCTTAAAAATCTTCGTTGGGCATTCCAACCGGTTTTACCTCTGATATATTCATTGATGTCAATAATGTGTGTTGTCAACAATTGATCGACGTTATAGTAGAAGTGAGTAAAGGTCACGTTAAAACATTATCTTACAGCACAAATCTGGTTAATTGTATGCCCTTTTGAAAGTTAGTTTCTCTTCTTTTCTATTTATGTTGACATAATATAAAACTATAACAGTGTGAATAAAGTTAACACGTGGATACAGATTTCCAGCACATGTTTCTAAATATTTGCTAAAGCTAATTGTTTTAAAAAAAAGACGCGACTTTTATTTGTTTATGGCATGCCAGTTTGTCCTATGTAATACTAACTATACGTAAAATATGTAATAAAATAGATAAGGTTTTTAGAAGCACGTATTCAAATAGTTTTCACGAAAAAAAATCCTTTTCTATGGTTCCTTCTTAATCAAACCGCAAATTTCAAGATTTCAATAACAGAAATTCATTAGACAAGGGAATGTTCAGCTACAGAAACATACTTTAATGACTTGGACGTTCATATGATAGGTCATTCATTGTTACAGTTTATTTGCTGAATATACATTCTATAGAACCTTATTTAAGGTGTTCAAATTTATTTTTTTTTATCTTTCACTCAATGTTTTGTAACCCCCCCTTTTTTCCCCAGGTATACTGTATTCTTCCAATTCAACCTCTTTTTAAAAAAAACTTTTAACAAGATACATGTAGTTGTCAAATTCTTTTGAGATCCGTTTATGTTGTGTATACTTCCATAGTCCTTAGCATTAGTTCTACTTATATATTTCATATCAATTATCCAAACACATATTTTTCGTCAAAATTTAATTTTAAAATGTTTGGTTTTTGGATATCATGTGTGTGTAGTGATTGTGTTTCATGCATTGATACACCCCTTCTTTTGTTTCTTTTCAGTATTTTTTTACAAATCCAACTACTCATCCCCTTAATTTTCAAAAGTGTTGGATGAATTATGCATTACTGCTTGATCTAGACTGCAATTATAAAAGTGATGTTAATTTGAATTTCATTCATTATTCTGAATTAAATAATGGTGTGATTTGCCTTTTGTTATTAAAAGATTAAAAAGATTTGTTGTCTTATTATGATCCCTATTATTTCTAGGATGGGAACACTGCATTTGACATAGCGGCAGAATCAGAATATTTTGATATAGTCAAACTGTTATTAGGAAGAACAACTATAGATCCAACAAGAGTATATGAGGTATGTAGTGTACTGCTTGAGATGATTTTCAACCGTTGCTTAATCGGCACAGACAACGTCAGACTCAGTGTTCACACATATATATTTGTTCCAACCTTATAAATAAACGAAATACCGAAGAGGAAAAAGGACTTACAGTTACCAAGAAGAAATCACAGGCATCCATTTTGTCTGATTCTTTCAAACTCAGTAGACGGTAGACAGTTTTGGTTTTATAAAGAAAGAAAAAAAGAGTCAAGTGGAATCGTCTTAAATCGGAAACAATCAAACTAAACGTCCACAAAGTATTACTAACATAACGTATACAGGTTACTTTTATAATAGAATATTTTAAAATGGAATCGTATCCATTTATTTTATCTGTTACCTCTCTATTAGTAAATGTTGTCTTTAATAGAAAATTTTGTGAGGCTCATGCATTTTTTACCTTTTGCTTAAGTACTGGTAAAATGTTAACATTTATATTTCAGGATGGAAACATTATCTTACACAAAGCTGCTAGAAGTAGAGAACTCGAATTGGTCCAATTGTTACTACAAATATCAAATATAGATCCAAATCAAAAGAATAAAGTATGAGGTACTATGCATTTCAATCCGTCGTAAAATTGCAACCTGTGAAGTCTTATGATCATAAAATCGTATCTTACAACAACTAGCTGCATAAATTGTCTATAATTAAAACTGAACAAATCTTCCCTTATTTAGTACGATTTCCCAGGTGAAAATGAAGTTTTGTAACAAATGGAAAATTAATGCTCAAGTATGTGGATCAGTCTACATTTTAAAGGTATTTGTGATGCTCAGTCTTAAATTTTTATGTAGTGTTCTAAATGTTGTCGTATGTTTTATTTTTAGTCATTGTATTGTCGGTTTTTTAATGATTTGTGGTTGTCTTTTTTTAATGTTCTGCCTCTTTCTAAAGTGCTATTTCAGATTCTTTTTTTAATTTTCATGCAGTGTATATGTCATACTTTAATGTTATAGACCGAGGTATGTTACGATAGGTTAATTACGTCAAGTATTGTCATTTTATTGAACATCTGTACTGTACCGTTATATTTGAGTGAAGTTCTATTCCTTTAACGGATTTGTTTTTACACTCTTTTTTCACGGATCGAGAATAAAGCAAAACTTGGAGGGTAGAGATCTAAAATAACAACTTAACATCGCCATATTTCTGTGTATCTGTTTCAAGTCAGCAACCTGTAAAATATATGTCCGAAGTCATATGTGTTCATGTTGATCGTTTTTAGGCGTATGTTTCTATGGTAGATCTTTGATTGCCTTACCTCTGAAATTTATTATTATTTGACTAAACAATTAGCTTGGAAATATTTCATAATTTTAGGTTTGAAAGTATTGTTACTGTCTATATGTTGTCGTTTAGTTGCTGTTTCATTGACATAAACACTGCTTCACTTTTAACCGTATAAATTAATATCAACATTATCATCCATTGATGATAAATTCTGTAGTCTTTGTTGTGTCTATATTGGAAAACACATGTTTAAGTAATTTGATGGTAAAAGTAAGACCAGTGGTGACAGTTTTGTCTGCAAAGATTAGAATATAACTTGTATGGCTATGCTATGTTTGTAATGGAATCGTGTTTAGAATGCCATATCTCAACAGTCACGAACAAGAAATGTTATCTTTAATTTTCCTTATGCTGATTATTACTCTATTAATTAATTACCTTATTTAGAAAAATGAAGTAAATACTTGTGTATGATTTCCAATTATTTGTCATCATTGAAAAGGTAACTGATGTGCGTGCATTGCGAAGCTTAAATAGATATAAGAAAAAGTGGTATGAGTGCCAATGAGACAAATCTCCATTTAAGTCACAATTTGTAATAGAAAACCATTAAAGGTCAAAGTACGGCCTGCAACACGGAGCCTTGGCTCACACCGAACAGCAAGCTATAAAGGGCTCCAAAAATGACTAGTATAAAACCATTCAAACAGTAAAACCAACGGTCTAATCTATATAAAAAAAACGAGAAACGAGAAACACTTATCACCACTTCAACAAACGACAATCACAGAACATCAGGTTCCTGACTTAGGACAGGTTTATTATAAAGTAAATTGTTATAAGGTTACATCTAAAAGAAACAGCCTTTTGATGTCCTAGTAATGTTACTATTATTATATGTACCAACTCTTCTCAATATACATTTAGGGAAAAATGGATTATGCCTCAAATTCAAAAGATTGCTACTAATGCGTATCGACGTATTCTATAAGATTTTCCAAAATCATATTAATATTAAGATTTCTATTATGTTTAAATAAAAATAGAAGATAAGAAGCAGAAAATGCAGAAGTGATATATTTGTGTTATCATTATACCATATTTACACTCGACTGTACCTTCAATTTGAATATTTGTATATAGTCTTTTTATAGCTTTCCATGTACTTTAAAACAGAACAGTCATATAACTTGTTTGCTACGATGTACAGTCTTCAGTAATCACCAAATACGGGTGCTTTTTTCATGTATTTCGGTATGTCTGCAATCTCCTATACACAAAAACATATTTGCTGAAAGATAGGTCTTGGTTAAATGCAATTTTGGGAAATTATACTTACGAGAATATCTTAACATCATTTTTTAAAGTTTCGCTTCTACTAACAGCTGTACAGAAATTGAAAAAAAAAATTCACTATCTTTATGCACACTTACGTTGCTTACGAATAGCTAAAATTTTTTAAAACATTTCTTTACTATGCGCTGGCAAGTTTATACCGGGAATTCCTTTCCAATATTATTAATAATTGATGCAATATAAAACAATGAAATGAATTCTTCTGTATTACTCGACGCATTCGGTTAAGTTCATGCGATTTCTCCAGTTTGTGTTTTGTTAAATTTGATTTGTCTTCTTAATCAATTAATAAAATTAGAACATCTATAAGTTTCTGTAAAATATGATAGGTTATCGTCTAAAAATGGCAAAACAGATACATAATTAGAATAATTTAATGAAGGTGAAATAAAATAAACCCATGCATTTGTATTTGAAATTAATCATTTAATTCGAAAAGTATAACACAGTACATCCTGACCGTATACCGAGATACTTATTTACCCGAGGATTTAGTTTTACAAATTAACTATTTCAACTTCGATGGATAACACACTTACACATATGCATGTATCCCACAGCAATGGGACGACATTTACTCCAATTTGAGCGAATTAAGCAAAGGCGTTGAAAGAGAACAGACAAAATAGAAATATAACACAAATTACCATGCATTGCAATGACGTTTGAAATAACATATTTGACAACTGAATGCATGGAATACGATATCAAGCTAAAATAATTGTTTTTATTGATAGATTGTTCATGTGATACTGTTTGTGGCAATTGAAATACTTGGTATTCAAATTATAAAGAAAAAGGTACAGATATTGAAAACGATATAATTCAAACAACCGAGAAAAACAGCAATGTTTACCTCAATAACAAAAGAACCTACAATACATATACTGTAATATTTTGCCCGACCAAACAGTATTGTTCAGTGAATTTAATAAACATGGCATTCAAAAGACCAGAAATAAAACACAAAATAACGGCAAGAGTTCTGCATTTTTACACAAACAAAAACATATCTTATCATATTATTGCATTTGGAAATAAAAAAGGACAAAGGTCATTTCCTGTGCGGAAATATTTTCAATAATAATTTTTTTTAATTTTATTCTGATATAATTATTTTATCAGCAATCGGTGCACACATCTTGTATATACATAAACCAGACGAATAATTTTAAAAACCCCACAAAAGGTCCAATGAAAAGACAACATATGTAAACAGAAGAGAACATCTGTTGGTGTCGAGTTTCATTTCAAATAAGGCAACAACAATCAGATTTTCCCTTAAAATTCTTCGTTGGGCACTCCAACCGGTTTTACCTATGATATATACATTGATGTCAATAATGTGTGTTGTCAACAATTGATCGACGTTATAGCAGAAGTGAGTAAAGGTCACGTTAAAACGATGTCTTACAGCACAAATCTGGTTAATTGTATGAACTTTTAAAGTTATTTTCTTTTCTTTTCTATGTATGTTGACATAATATAAAACTATAACAGTGTGAATAAAGTTAACACGTGGATACTGATTTTCAGCACATGTTTCTATATATTTGTTAAAGCTTTTTGTCTTGAAAAAAAAAAAAAAAACGCGACTTTTATTTGTTTATGACATATCAGTTTGTCCTATGTAATACTAACTAAACGTAAAATATGTAATAAAATAGATCAGGTTTTTTGAAGCACGTGTTCAAAAAGTTTTCAAGAAAACAATCCTCTTCTGTGGTTCTTTGTTAATCAAACCGCAATTTCAAAATTTCAGTAACAGAAATTCATTAGTCAAGGGAATGTTCAGCTACAGAAACACACTTTAATGACTTGGTACGTTCATATAATAGGTCATTCATTTTTAAAATTTATTTGTTGAATATACATTCCACAGAATCTAATTTAAGGTGTTCAAATTTATGTTTTTATTATTCACTCAATGTTTTGTAACCCCCCTTTATTTCCCCATGTATGCTGTATTCTTCCAATTGAACCTCTTTTAGAATACTTTTAACAAGATAGTTGTCAAATTCTTTTGAGATCCGTTTATGACTTGTATACTTTTATAGTCCTTAGGATTAGTTCTACTTATATATTTCATATCAATTATCCAAACACATATTTTTCTTCACAAACTGATTTTAAAATGTTTGGTTTTTGGATATCATGTGTTTGTAGTGATTGTGTTTCATGCATTGACACCCCCTTCTTTTGTTTCTTTTCAGTTTTTTTTTTTACAAATTCAACCAGCCCATCCCCTTAATTTCCAATAGTGTTGGATGCATTATGCATTACTGCTTGATCTAGACTGCATTATAAAAGTGATGTTAATTTGAATTTCATTCATTATTCTGAACAAAATTATTGTGTGTGATTTGCCTTCAAAAGCATCCACATTATCTGATTCTTTCAAACTCAGTAGATGGTAGACAGTGGTGGTTTTATAAAGAAAGAATCAGGTTGAATCATTTTAAATCGGAAACAATCAAGTTGAAACAAAAAATATCTTAATTAGCTTATCTGTTACCTCTTTGTTATTAAATGTTGTCTTTTACAGAAGATATGTGAGGCTCATGAATGTTTTACCTTTTGCTTAAGTACTGGTAATAAAATAAGATTTATTTTTCAGGATGGAAACACTGTCTTACACAAAGCTGCTAGAAGAGGAGAACTCGAATTGGTCGAATTGTTACTAGAATTATCAAATATAGATCCAAATCAAAGGAATAAGGTATGAGATTCATGCATTTCAATCCGTCGTAAACTTGCACCGTGTGAAGTGTTATGATCATAAAATCGTCTATGACAACAACTAGCTACACAAATTGTGTTTAATCACAACTGAACAAATCTTCCCTTATTTAGTACGATTTTCCAGGTGAAAATTAAGTTTTGTAACAAATGGAAAAATATTGCTCGATCAGTCTTAACCTTTAAATTTAGTCTAGATTTGTCTGAATCATCCCATCTACCTCAATTATATATTGATCCTACAAAATCCCAGGTTATTTGGTAGTTTGATTCTTTGCTGTCAGATTAAAGGATTTAATCAATAGGTAAAAAAAAGCTAGAATTTTCAGTTTTGATTCAATTCAGATAGTCACCTTTAACTATTTCTATAACTTTTTCAAATAAACTTGGATTTTCACACATCTTTACAGCTATCTTAATTATACTTTAAGTTAGAGAATGGCAAGTGATTAACCTTCAGTGCGAATGCAGTATTCAATTGAACTTTTGTAGTATCTTTCCGATGAGTAAATGTATAAAATGCCATAAAGGAAAAGAGTTAAGCCAATTAGTTAACCCTTTCCATTTCCCACCGGTACAGGTTTCATATGAGGCAAGTTTGAAAACATTTTTTACAATAACTCTTGTATCATCGACATTCTTTAATGTACAGATGTGTTAAAGGGCGCAAATTAATCTTCATAATACCCGCTTTGTGACTAAATGTGATTCAAACTTTCATTATTATCTGTTGATGGTCGATATACCTCTTACTGAAAAAAATGTTGTTTGTTTTTCGGTAAAAACCTCTTTTCTCATTAAATTCTAACAGAATATTTTCACCAAGTAGTGCAAAGAATACTTTTTTTGTTTTTTTTTTTAGGGGGGTAAAAAGTTATATTTTTAACAACTGTGCATTGGACTAATGTCAGAATAATAGAAATAACATGTACACTAGTAAAAAATGTAATTTCTAATGTACCAGCGCAATTAGAAACTTAAGGTGCGCTAACAATTCCAAATAGTTTTTTACAGAAATTATTGAAAAAAGTTACTAAAACCGCTTCAATATCCTGAAATGTTTTTAACGAAGTTGAATTTTAATTTAACCTAATTTTACTGTCTATTTCAAAAAAGAAAACCAACTACATACAGAAAAACTTATATTTCTGTTTGTAGTCTTGTATGTTTTTTTAATATTTGTTTACTTATATGATTTGGAGTTAAGTTTGACATCAATTTCACTTAACTAGTATACATGTTTGTCAAGGGGCAAGCTGGAGCCCTCCTTCGGGTGTGGGATTTTCTCGTTGTGTTGAAAACCCATTGATGGCCTTCGGCTGTTTTCTGCTCTTTTGTCGGGTTGGTGTATCATTGAAACTTTCCCCATTGTCCCACTCAATTTTATGTAAGTTTCAAAAGATAGAATGTACCCAGATGCTACCCCGCCCCTTTTTTTCCTTTTAGCTTGATTGGGCTCGGCTTGAATGAACACGTTTTAGACAAAAACTTAACTAGTGACTTTTGGAAAGATATCACGTGGCCTAAAAAAACCCGAATCATCTTCAAATTTTATTTTTTGGGAATATTCGATCAACTATCTTTCATATGAGTCCAATATGGCAAGTTTTTACACTTCTTATTAAGGTGCAAACTTCAAAAGCATTCGGACACATACTTTGATTCATACAGTTGTATAAATGGCTCATACCTTTTGTGTGCCCTAGTGTCCATGGTTATCAGCCGTATCTATATAATACGCAAACTTTACTATCGACTGTCGAATTTGACTCCGACCACTGACCTCTGTTTACACCGGAAACGGATTTCGGTCTACTCGAATTCTCTTTTATAAAAAAATGTTTGTAGCACTTAAAGATTTTTTTATATAATATATATGTTCCTAAAACAGACAAAGTGGTTTCTGGATCATCTATTGTTTCTATTTCAATACCTTCTCATAACTTACACAGACTTATTAGCTAGTTGTTTTCAATAAAAAGGTAAAGACTAGAAAAACACCACTTCATGCAACCTTCATGCAACCAGAAGTCGTAAATTGATATAATTTATCATGAGTAATAAAGGCTGTAAGTCTTCGTCCATTGGCATTTGATAATAAGTCATTGTCAAATCAGGTCCTGTATAAATTTTGGCATTAAATTTTCTTTAAGCATCAAATTCATTATCTTCAAGAGACAGGGGATGCTGCTGAAGACTGATTGATTTATTAAGTGAACGAAAAGCAATACGTAGTCTCAAGATGTTGTCTCTTTAACATATGTTCGCTAGTGGGTTCCTCTGTTATATTTTATTCAAGAAGAAGTTCCTGCCTTTGAATTTATTGTTTATCAGCTTGCGATGTACTATACGGATGGGATTTAACAGGCGAGCCATTTCCGGTATTACATTTACGCGTATATCTCTGATATCTCTAAATTGATTGCAAACACATTACTATTTGGTTAATATTTAATTGTTTATCTTTTTTTGTTTTTGTTTGTCTGACAAACCAGCTTTTGGTTAACATGATAAATCAAATTGAATATCTCTTTGATTTGAATTGGTTTATATATAATTTAAGGTGGAACAGTGGATTTATGTGCACTTTACATCGTCTTAAATCAAGACGTAACTTTTATCAAATCACTAATATTAGCTACAATTTACCACGACTTTAAAGATAAGACATCGTATATGGGTTTTAAAATTTGAGAGAAACATTTGTTGTTCGATTTTTGATTAAACATCTATCTATTAGAAAAAAACTTGTTCTTAAATTATTTGAGTGGTTCCGATAAATAATGTAGATGTAGCCATGCGTATTAAAAACTAGCCCACACATTTCTGATTGTTTTTCGAAGAGTTCATGGATTCATGTAAACCCTAGCAAAACATACTGTTACTTTTATTAAAATGAATGTAATGAATCTTTAATTCAAGATAAACACTTTTTTCTTTGAACAAAAACTGTTACTTAGATCATACAATGCATTTAAGCTGGTGTAATATAAACATTTTGAGAAATGACTATTCCACGTATAAGAAAATGTAATTCAATTTGACCTTTTACTAGGTAAGTCATATACATATAAAATTTTCCCTACAACTAAAGATTTTGCGGTGGTGAAAATGATCATAGAATAATAACCCAATGACGGGATGTATAAGTACAGAGTCACGTCAAATGGGTATCACCAAAACTAAACTAAACAGTAAAAGTAATATTCATATAGACAATAAAAAAGGAATACTATAACACGTTATTAAGATAATAAACAAAGTCAGTATCCAGAATCTGTATCATCGTGTATTATTTGTGAAGTTGATACGGAATATTTATCAACAAGGTATTGGTACCTTCTGATGAACTGTTTTAGGAAAAGGACAAGACGTTCTTGACATACCCCTGGTTCATCAACTTTCTGCTCAGACACTGGTGACGTTTTACAGTCTGAGTAGGAGCTGCAAGCTCTTGAATACCGAATCAGTTGGGAAATGTATATCCCATATGCAGGTGAAGTTGGTATATTGATACTAAGGTGGGGGAATTGATAATTTCAAAATTAAAATCGTCTTGTTTGTTATAAATTCTGGTACTGAGATGACCGTGTATGTCAAATTTGAGATATAAGTCTAAAAATGAGGCGGGGGAAGCCGTATCTGTTGTTTCTTTAATTTCTAGTTCTGGGGGATATATCAATGTACCCCAATCAGAAAAGTTTGGATTGTTAATGGAAAGAACATCATCAATATATCTGAATGTGAAATTAAATGACCTGGCTTCTTTGATCTTTTTGTTTTTGACAAGAACCCGAAGGAACTCCGATTCATATGAAAATAAGAAGAGGTCAGCATGCACAGTTCGTTCCCATAGGAATGCCGACAATTTGTTGAAAAAGTTCCAAATTCAACAAATATGTTGTCAATAAGAAACTCCAGCATACTGATCACTTGATCCTCTGTGTAGCATGTTTTACCTTTTGGTTCACTATAAACAATATATGCCGTATGGTATCCCAAAGTAAAAAAATGTATAGCGTATTCAACCATTTTTATGTTGAAAAGCATTGTGGATTATTTCTTTTAGATGATTTTTTTAATTTCACATGGGGAATGGTGGTATACAGAGTTGAAAAATCAAAGGTTTTGATAGAACTAATTTCAGAAAAAGGTCGAGATTTAAAATTATCCAGAAGTTCTTTAGAGTTTTTTTAGAATCCACATATGGTTAATACCACTACGCGAGTAAACAGTTTCACAGTATTTCTGAAGACCCTCTTTTACTGCGGACAGACTTTTCGTCAATCTAATAGGCAATTCTTTAGTCGAGCATGCAGCCGGCAATGTACCGTTGCTTGTACGGAACTTTGTGAAGCTTAGTTATCCAATACAAACAAGGTAAATCCTCCGATTTGTTGTTCAATGTTATGTTCATTGAAGCCATGAAGGACTTATGATTCGCCAACTAACCTGTCTACTACTATGATCTGTGAACAGAAATATTTATAAAAATAACATATCAATCTCTTTAGGTAGTCGAGCTCTTGTGAAAGTATCTTCTATTTTATTTGACCTGTAATTGGTTTTTGAATGGCGAATACGGGCTCACTTAAATTTTGTGCTTTTCATTAATCTTTCCAGTGTAAATTGAACACTTATTTCATTCAACAAAAACCATGAAATCAATTTTATCAGTAAATGTTGTAACATTTCATATTTTTAATATCGCTATTTTCTCAAATAATCCTTTGATTTTGTTTGTGATAATTTTTCGTACCACACTATTCGGGTAATATTAGGTGTTCGCGGTCTAGTAGAAAGATAGTTTATGACGCAAAGAGCATCTGTCGTTGACATTTCACCGGAAAATATCTATAAACATATTACAAATGGTCTTTTAACCTCGAGTATTTACATCGGCTATATCTAATCGGGTTGTCGCTTCGTCTTCTATTCTGTTACAGCAATAATTTGGCGATTGAAGGAAAACACGAGTTA